AAGTGCTACCCAGCAGGTGGCTGCAGTACCCAATTTGTCATCCCAGCAGTGTCCCTTGTTTCCAGAACAAACTGATTGCAGCCTTACAAGCAGGAAATCCTGCAGGAGAAGGTCTGGGGCTCTGGCTTCCCTAGGAGAGATACTGCCTGGGTAATGCCCAAATCAAAGCGGGAGCCCATTAGAGACACTGAACACATTCATCCTGCTGGAGTACACCTTGAAAATGATTTGCTTTAAATTGCTTTCCTCCAATCTGAGGAAGTGCAGGGTTGGGAAAGATGCAGATGCAAGACAAGAAAGGAGGCTGCTCTTCCATCTCATGCTCCAGTGGGACAAGAGTCCAATAGACTTGAAATAGCAGAAGAAACACCTTAGAAAAAGCAGCACTTGATTGAGCAGGGATTAACATTGCACCCAGCAGTAGGAGGATGCTGGGGGCTGGCAGCACCCAGGACCACTCCTGCAAACACCTCCCTTTGCTGCATGCTCAGGGGCAAAACCATCAGCTCTAATCATCAGCTACTGATGCCAGGCTGTGCTCAAACAGCTCGAAACCTGCTCACCACTAACATCCTCTGTGCTACCTACAGGAGCAGCAGGCAAACATGCCACAGGAAAGCAGATCCCTGCTAATGAGACAGCCTTCAGCCACTTGTTATCTTTGATTACCTCCTTAATTCAGTCAAGAGACAGCATGCTTTATTTTTGTCCTCCCTACTGAATCAGCATCTCCAGTTCCCAGAGGCTTCCCTGCTGCTGGGAGCCAGCTCCACCATGGGCCGAGGGGGACCTGAAGCCAAAATGCTCCCACAAGTCTGCTCAGCACTTTCCCACTCCCCCTGTGGTTCCTATCTCAGTCTCAATGGCTCCTGTGTGTGCTTTCGAACACATCTGCCTGAAACAAGTCAGTGGCAGATCTTGTGACCATAAGGTAACACACTTCCTACACGATCGCTTCATCTTGAAACACCCCTGGCCTATATCTGTCAAGCAGGTAGAGAAGGGACCTTTGATTTGTCCTTCCCTGAAGGATGTTAGCACATTTTTGAGAGGCAAAGTCATAGGAAACCTCATAAAATCTACTGACTTGACAAAAAGGGGGATTTGGTTCAATCCCTGGTGTGTGACCCAGGAGAATAAAGCGTATGTGACAGCACGGAAAGTTAAGCCATCTCTTGGCACTGAAAGGCCAACCTTAAAACTGAGATAGCTTGCAAGATCAATGAATTGAACAGCTTTAGCTTTAGTAGAGATTTACAGCGAGCATTAACATTCTCACACACCGATAGTTCACCATTTGGTTGAGGTCCCAGTTTGTAAAGAGAAGGAAATAGCCAGAAGCGGCGCTTACTCTGAACACCCTGCCATGAGCAAGCTGGATCTGCTCATGAGACCCGGGTCTCAAGGGCAATGCGCTCAGAAACAAGCACATGGGATCTGTCCCAAGCTCCCACAGGGGACAAGTGGAAAATGAGTTATGAGGTAATCAATTTTCCAGGCCTTTAACCTATTTTAGCACACCTCGCACACAGTGCTGATGCTGAGCGGGGACACACTGACACCAATGAGTGCACAGGAAGTGCTATGGAATGATCTTCCCAATCTGGACTTTGATTTAAGAGTGCCTCATCTCAGGGAGGCTGGGAGTGCACTGCAGCCAGCAATAAGTGCAAGAGATCAGTGATCAAGCCTCAATTCTGACCTTAAAGTCGGAAATAGCCTTTCTGCAGGTTTCTGTGGCAAAGCAACACTGATGTCTGCTTAAACCCCTTCACAACCATGGTCCCCACCCTTTTAGCCTTGCCTCCTCCTAGAAATGAGGGCAAATCTATTTTTCCCGGACTAGGAGCACAATGCTCAGACAGGGGCTTTCTACTGACACACAGGCACATATTTGCAGTGCATTGCATCAGGTACCCAACAAGGAGGCATCCCCAACACATGTGTACACAAACAGGGCTCCCAGCCTTCACACAAACCCTAACTGAATTTCTCCTGCCCTCAGGCATAAAGATATCAAGTGATCAATCACCAGCTTCAGTAAATTCTGCCTCAATAACAGCATTGCCTTCAGTGGGACATAACCCTCCTGAGCTCCTCTCCTCCAGCCCAGCTCCAGTCCCCTCCGGTGGAACAGATCCACACAAAGGAGAGGTTTCATCTAGCCCACCTCTGCTACTGACAGACCCACAGCATACCTCACTCAAAACTTCACATTACCCTACCCCATCATCCCCAAATTCATCACACTAGAAAGCAAAACCAGGCACTACTTCTCATCGTGAGGAGCACAAAGGCTGATGGGGGTTCCGCACAGGAAGCAAGCCCCCCAAACTCCACATCCATGCATGCAGCACCAACACTGCCCAGCCCTACCAAGGCAAACACATCAGATCCTCCCTCACCAGTAACTTACTCAAGGCTGTGAGGGTTATTCATTAGCTTAAATAAGAACCAAACACAAGAACTTACATGGCTGCAAACTTGATCCTGATCCAAGGCAGCATGTGGTGGCTGAGGCTGAACCAGAGGATGCTCCGAGTCACATCAGTGTGGCAGTTCCTTACTTCTGCTGGGGATGCCATTTAGCACAGAAACAAGAAAATAGTAGTAATAGGGAAAACTGATTTTGAATCAAGTCCTTCTTTGTGTTTAGGAATTACCTGTTTCCCTAGTAGAGCTTATGAGCACGAACACAGGCTGCAAGGACCAACTTTTCATCCACCCCTCAGCCCCACTGCAGCTACTTTTGCTTCTCTGGCAAGAAACAAAGAGGTTTTCTAACCTCCTCAAACAACCTGCACCTGCAGTTCATGGGGAACAGCTGAAAAAGGTTGAGTCCTAATGAAAGTAAAGGGGGAAGAGGAGGAGACCATCTTTACTAAAAGCCATCATCCTTCCTCTCAGAGCACCAAGGCTCCCAAACAGCAGCTTTCCTGTCCAGCCACTCAGCCCCAGGAACGGTCATAGCCTGAGAAGTTTTACCATCTGGGCACCACACTGCCAAGTGCATCTCAACAAAAGGACCAACACTGATGGCATTAAAAAACAATTATAAAAAAAAAAATCAATTCCAGTAGAAAAATAATTTAATAAAGGGATAAGTTTCAAGAAAATATCTGTATAGTAACAACATTTTCAGTAAAATGTCCACAAAAATATACATATCTAGTGTGATCATACATAAGTTTCCCGACAAGTCCTGTTTTAAACTTGGTTTGTCCATCTAAGTTTCCATCTAGGAAAAACCTTCACTGCTACCAGACTTCCTGGGATGTATCAGTTTGCACAAACAGAACGATGAGAGAAATGTTTTCTAAGTGACTTTAGGCTCACACAAATAAACTTTAGAGTTGGTAACAGTCCAGAAGAGATCTGGTTATACCATACCATTAAAATAAAGTAAATACAAGGAAAGCAAAAGTCAGGAGCCTCAGGGACACACCATCAGGCAGAAACATCAGCCCTACAATATGCACCAAACAACACTGACACAGCTGGAAAAGGAGGGGGAAGAAGGAAAGATGGGCAAGAGAACGGGGAAAATCCCAGGAGGAGGAACTATGGAACTGCTAGAGGAGGGGGCTATAGAGAGGCCAGGGAAAAGCACACACGAGACCAACATACTTCTAGAAACTGGACAATGTTGTAACAGAAGATAAGCTAATTGCAGGAATATGAAAAGGAATTGGTAAAGAAAGTTTATTTCTTATTTTTCCAAATGGCTACTGAGCTGTAGAAATAACAGGTCTGCCCCAAAGAGCCCTCACCAATAGTGCTAATTCAGCCGAACAGCTCCAAAACTGATGCACTTCCAGGAGAGAAAAATCCAGTTACAGGAAGTGACAGATGCAGGACAGGAGGAAATAAAGAGAACATATTCCACCAGCAGAGGACAGGAACGAAACAGGGAAGAGGAGATGCCAAACAGGAGATATCAGTTCTGTCAAAGGGAGATGTACACTGCAACAAAAAAAAAAACCACCACCAAACCAAGAACAACAGAACAAAAATCCATCCCATACAAAGAAAATGGAAAACTGCTGAAGAAATAAAAGGACACACATTTGCCAAAAGATTTTTTGTTTTATAATCAAACTTTTTGTTTCTTTTTTTTTTTTTTTACATAGACAACTGAAGCACACCAATATTTTGTGCGAAAAATAGTTTTAAATAAACTTTGCTCGTTCTCCATTTTTGTACATTCTGATATACATATGTAACAAGGTTTATGGCACTGTAACCAGGATCAAAATCATATAAAGGAACGAAATAATTGCTCTCATTTATCCTTTCTGAACCAAACCGCTGCCATTACACTAGTAGACTTCAAAAATTATTATCTTATTAGTAGGCAGCCAACTCATAATTGGTTTGAACACTCTAAACAAACCCCAAATTATTATTGCACAAGAAGCCAGTGAAGGCATATGGCATAGAATGATCAAAGTCCCCTTACTGTTAAAACCTTACACCCCAAAATAGAAAAATAGAACTGGAACATGAAACACGCCAAATAAACTTCTTTTTATTTCGTCTTTAGCTTGAGTCAGGAGTGTGAAAAGTGCCTTGAAGACTTTTGAAGCTGCTCCGATTTCCTTTGCATCGGTGAGCATTTTGCTAGGTTATCTTTAGCAAAGCCTTTACAGAATGAAGGCCCTTCTGTTTCAGGGAGGGGTTTTATTTCTGCTTTGTTTTGGCTGTTTGTGTTTCGTCTTCAACTTAGGTTTCTTCAGTCTATGAACCTGCACAGACTACTTAGCCATAAACTCTACAAGTAGCTGGAGAGGAGGGAAAAATAAAAAGGGAAAGGGGGGGGGAAAGCCCAGTATTTCTTCTTCATCTTGTTTTGATTTTAAAAAGTACTCCTTTTGCTCCAAAACCTCCCTGCTCTGCCAGCATCTGGGAAGGAAATCACAACAGCATCCCAAATACGGCAAAGTTCTTGGATCTTTTAAAAACCTTTCCTTATCAAAAAGAAAAAAAAAGGAAAAAAAAAAAAAAAAGGTTTTTATTCACAAAAAGTTTGCCACAAAACCCCCCCTTTGAAAGCTAAAAAGAAAAACCCACCTCCCACCCGTCACTGCCCCAAATCAGGTGAAGAATAGGTTAACCCCCTCCTTGACCGCATCCTCGCCATCACACCACGGTCTCTACGCCGATCAGCTTTGGCGTGAGGATGCGCGGTGTGACACCGTTGTTTAGATCTTCTTCGAACTCCAGTAACTGCCCCATAAAGTTAAGGTTTGGGGAAATGATTGGTCGTTTGCCTTTCACAAATTTATAGGCATCCGTCATGGTCATGCGCGTGTGCTTCATTAAGTACGCGATGACGATGGTGGCAGAGCGGGAGACACCGGCCTGGCAGTGGATGAGGAGACCTTTTCCACACTGATGAGCTTCCTCTGGAAATAAGAAAGACAGAAGGAAGTGAGATGTCTGCCAGTTTCTAAGTGAGAAAAAGATCAGTGCAATTAAGAGTAACTTAATGTGAAAAGTCCCTGCATTTGATTACAAGCACAGCATCG